GAGAAGGTGTGATACTCTTTTGACATTCCCTACAATGTTTAGAGAAGATGATGGTGGATGTAGTGAGTCCTGCTAGCTGCCATATTAAGTGGGGCGATGACGGTCACAATGGAGAGAGATGAAAATTACAGCATTTCTTCTCTGATAAATTTGAGGAGGAAGCCTCTGTTTCCTGAGCAGTAACATGATGCATGTCTACTACTGAAGAGCTATAGAGACCACTTAGTACTCCTTTCAGGCAGAATCTTTCAGATTGCTTCTTCCTCACTGAAATCTCCATGCTTCAAAGCTAGTCTTAAGTCCTGCCTTTTTGATGAAAAAGGCATCCTATTTGCCATTTTCTAAAGTCATATCACTGTCTTCTATTTGGCTTAGTATTTGTTTCATGGCTTTTTTTTTTTTTTTTTGAGGGCAGGGATTGAACTCAGGGGCACTCTACCACTAAGCCTATTTTGTATTTCATTTAGAGACTGTCTGAGTTACATAGTGCCTTACTTTTGCTAAGGCTGGCTTTGAACTCTCAATYCTCCTGCCTCAGCCTCCCAAGCCACTGGGATTATAGGCTTGTGCCACCATGCCTGGCTTATTGCATGTATTTTTTATCTCTTGCTTTCATTACACTACAAGTTTCCTGGACCATATTTTGGTGGTTTTAATTTTTAATTATAAAAATTTTTAAACATTCACAGAAGTAGAGAGAACAGTATAATTAACCACCATATACTCATCTCCAACATTCAACCATGATCAAGATTTTTGCCTCATTACCCTTATACATACATCTTTTTTTCTTTTGCTAAAAGTATTCTATTGTACATTTTTTTCCAATAGGCATTTCTAAAACAAAATATGGTGCCACAGACCGAATGTTTGTATCCCTCCTCCAAATCCTATGTTATATTACATCCCTAAGATGATGGTATGTGGARTTACGGCTTTTGCGGGGAAGAGCCATTGGGGGCCTTCAGGTCATAAGAATGAATTCCTGAAGAATGGGATTAGTGCCCTTGAAAGAGGCTCCAGGTATGTGAAAACAAAGCCAAAATATAGCCATCTATGAACCAGGTTGCTGGTCCTTATAATACCTCAATTCTGCCAGCACTTTGATCTTAGACTTCCAGGACGCTGAAAGTGTAAGAAATAAATTTCTATTGTTATGAGCCACACAGTGTGTGAGTATTTTGTTATAGCAGCCCAAATGGACTAAGATCAAAGTATATTTTCTTAAGTAGTCATGTTAACTAAACCAAATTAACACTTAATTCCTTGATACCATTCAATATCTGTTCCATAGTCAAATTTACCCAATTGCCTCAAAAATGTTTGACAATCAGTTTGTTATTAATCAGTATCCTAATAAGATGGGTTAAGATGTCTCTTCACATTTTTKGGGGGGAGGTACTAACGATTGAATCCAGGAGCCCTTAACCACGAGATATATCCCCAGCCCCTTTTGAATTTTTATTTTGAGACAGTGTTTTGCTAAGTTGCTTAGGGCCTTACTAAATCAATGAGGTTGGCCCCAAGTCCCTACTGATTTAATGAAGAAATTTACTTATTTTTTTCTATTGGATGTACCACATTGGATTGATCTGTATGTTTCTTCATTGTCTTAGGAGCTATATTTTTCTTTCACTTAGCTAATATGTACTAGGTCCAGCTCATGAGCCACAACTGTATAAAATGCAGTAGATACAACAATGAATACAATAACTATAGTCCTGTTTCAAACAGTTCAAGAAAGTAATAAAAACAAATGTTAATTACTATCAGTTGTGATATGTGCTAAGAAGGGAAAGTATATAACAATAAGAGAAATTATAGCAAGAGAACCTAACCTACTTTAGATGTCAGGAGGAGTATTTATTTTATATAGTTTAAAGCCCCTTGTACACTGTTAAGTAAAAAACAATAAGGAAAACAGTATTTCTGGGTTYGCTGGTGAGTTTTCTTCATATTATTAGCTTTGTAAACTAAAAGATATATCACCAACCCTTGAGTTTTGAACATCAGACCCTATTTCCTAAGAGTCTACATCTTCAGCCCTTTTCATTTTTTATTTTGAGACATGRTCTTGCTAAGTTGCTGAGACTGGCTTTGAACTTCTAATCCTCCTGCCTCAGTCTCCCAAGATTACAGGTATGTGCCACTGTATCTGGTCAGACAATCAATTTCTAAGAAAGAACAGATGGATGTTATTGAAACCTAGAGGCATATGCTCATTAGGCTATCTACTGCACTTTCCTAATAGGGTTTTTAATTTAAAGTTGAGGAAGGAAAAATACCCAGACACATTTTAAGATTTCATATAATGGAAGGAATAACACAGAAAAGACAGTAGCAGAGGAGTTAAATGACAATCCAGACCTTCATTTTAAAGGATTATAATACAGTTTTTTAAGATATTAAAAACAATACCATCTACTTAAGACCAATATACATGTTGAAGTCCCCCTTAATTTATACTAGATTTAAGTCTACCTGTTTGGGAAATAGCATCATAGTTGTTTGAGTGTCTTGAAAAAAAAATACATTCTGCTATGGACTGTGGACTGAAGTGAATACTTCCAAAATTCATACAYTGAAGTCCTAAACCCCAAAATGACTGTACTTGGGAACAGTTAAGATCAGTGTCCTTATAGGAAGATAAGAGACTAGAGTGTTTTCATTCTTCTATCCCTACTGTAGAGTATTTTTTATCCCTGTGTAGGGTATTTTTTTTTAATGGAAGCCTAAGCTGACTAACATAACTTCCTAATTTTTTTCCCTCTCTCCAGTATCTAAGTCTTAAAGATCTCTCTTCTGTAATGATTTGTAGAATACATCTGTTCAACTTGTAGGATACATTAGAGACTAAGACCATGTGTATAAAAAGTATTCCTTTATATCTAACCAAGCAGACAAGAGAAAAAATAAGGAGTTAAAGCATTTTCTAACCTGAGGGAATGGAATGGAAGAGTGATTTTTGTTTGCATTTACTCTCAAATTCTTGAAATTTCATATTCTTTTCTGTAAAACTAGGAGCTCTCCTAAGGTGAACCATATCTGGATATTTTCAGCTGTGGTCAGCTTCTCTCTGAATCCCACTAGAGTTTGGTGATGCAAAGTAAACAAGGCTATAAATCAAATGCAATGCATTTAATACCTCAATGCATTTCAAATTGATCTGGAATAGGGGTCAGCTTAAATCATTTTTTGAGGGAAACTGTTCCTTCCCATGAAGGAAGTTAAAGATGGCAAATCCGAAAGTTATAGTGGATTCAGATGTGAGGCTGCTTATTTGAGAATGGAGGCAAGGTTGCCTCAGGTGAGATTCTTCGGTTATTTATCTGGTTGAAGACATGGATATTTAAAAACACATCCTTGTGGCTGGCATTACATCTGAAATCTGGTGGGCAAATTTTCAAGAAATAAAAGCTACAAACAAATAGCTTCTGTTCCATTCAGCATGCTGTGGGAAATGGCTAATGGACAAGCATTACTATGACTGGCAAGGCGAGCTGCCAATAAATGATAGGAGCAGAGATTCAAACCACTACATAGCAACAACACTTCCTACACTTATTTCACTAATTTGTCAAAGTAGGACATTATCTGAAGTGAAAAGTAAAATGGGATTGGCAAGCACAGGGAAAGGAATTATTTAAAAGTAAAAACCTCGCTTCTTTCTCTACTGGTTAGTGATCTCTGCTTTGCGTAATTATGATTTACTTCAACTATTTTCTGTTACCACATTAGACTTTACTGAGGGTAACTTTTCCTCCTATGTAAATAAAAAGCAAAGAGTTATTTCTTGTATGGTAAACGCCCATTGTTTCCTTATTCCTGTCTTGTCCTTTTCAGAAGAAATGAAGTTCAGTCTCACAATAGGCAGGGGGTGAGGGAAGTTAGAGGTATTGAGATTCCCCAGATTGGGCAGGGGAAATGGGGGAATGGGAAGAGGGATGGGAATAGGAAAGACAGTAGAATTTTCATATATGAATACACAACCAGTGTAACTTCACATCATGTATAACCCAACCACAAGAATGGGAAGTTATACTCCATGTATGTATGATATGTCAAAATATGTTCTACTGTCATGTATCATTAAAAAGAACGAATAAAACAACAACAACAAAATATATGAAGTTCAGTGGTTGGATGAGAAGAAAGGGCACAGTTATGAGAAGCTGCGTCAGAGAAACTGCCAGACCTTTCAGGCCTTATTGTTTTCTGATTTGCCATTTTTTTGCCCTAGAAAAGAACCACAAATACTATCTGCTATCTTTCTACTCAATCTTCAACTCTTAACTCCTCTAACTCCAATAATTTTAACAGACTGTTAAGCAGGTCAATATGTGCAATCTTATGTCTTCTAAAATGGGATAAAAACTATTCCATTATAAAGGAAAAATAAATTCACATTTATTAGCTTCAAATCAGTCCAAAATTTCAAGAAAAATGCCATATATTCTATTTCACATAAGCATTTTTGTGTAATGATCAAGAGTATAGACTCTGGGGATAGACCACTTGAGTTCAAATGCTCACTAGCTGCACAGATTTAAATTAATCTCTATATCTCTATTCTCTCATCTGTAAATACAAAATAATAATAGTTCTACATTATATTCTGTTGTACCTGGTAAGGAGAATATACTATATGAACACTTACTATTACTAGGATTATTTCAGAAAACAACTGAAGGGCATTACTTTAATCTCATTATTTATTAGTACTATTAAACAGTTATCTGTAAAATCAAGTGAAAGCTCAAATAAAATAAGTGTTCTATTATTAATCAGATAAGAATAAAAGGTAAGTATAAAATCCTTTCTTCAAAATTAGCCTTAACAAAATTAACCTTAACTTAGATTTTACTAACAAAAGCATGCACTTGAGTTTTGGAAGCAAGACATTCTTAAAGAGAGTAGAGTGAAAACCATGTACTATCATATAAGACTAGTCTGAAAGACTGACATAATCTGAAATATTGCTCTCTGAACAAAATACATACTTCTGGGGTGATCTGTTGTCAACTTCCGCCTTCAGTCGCAAATTCTCCCTCACCAGGCCACCGTTTTCCAACTTCAATTTTTTATTTGCCTTAAAAAAAAAAGAGTTGAAAATAACTATGCACAAGCTAAAACAAAAGTTTCTTGTAAAATTTATGACATGAGCCATCTGTATTTTTTAGAGCAATAATATCAGAAAACTGAATACTAGAACATGGTCTTTGGAAACTGAAAATTACCACTGAGAATAACATCTGAAATGGTGAACACAACTAAGCATTTTTAATACATATTCCCAAGCACTCTGCCCATCTACTATCCAGGAAAATAAACAAAACTATATTTTAGCTAGATTAAAGTCATTAAGGAACTATACTAATGGCAAAAATGTGTTTTTTTTCTTTTTTGCATAACTGAACATTCTAAGCAAAGTAACATTGCAACACATGCAAGTTTTGCAAACAAATGCTGAAGAGTTAATTCTTGAGCTATGAGACTGATTTCTTCATTGCTACTTAAACACATTTTTCTAGGGATAAATAAAATATGATTGAACTATTTGCTTGCTTTCTTCAAAAAGGCTTTACCAATTCTCTGGCTGACAACTTCTGAGATCCTTTTTAAAAAATGGGTCAATATTTTCTGATTCCATGAATTCTAGACCTTGATTAAAAAGAAAAAAAAACCCTCCCAAGTATGATTTCTTTTCTTGAATTATAAAATACCTAAAAATTACCTAAGAAGACAATAATTACTAGAAAAATCTAGAGGTTCAATATTGACTATGAACAGCCTGAAAAATAGTGCTCTTAATTTCAGAATCTTCTTAAAGCCACTTCCTTTAAATTCCTTAGTCATTGCCTTTGTGTATTCCAAACAAAAATAAGATTGCCTAGACTAGCAACCAAACTCAAATTCACATGGCAAGGGAAATTCTCTGCCTAGAACATTTATATTCACAATTAATGGATCACAAGAACAAAATTAAATCAAGAAGTCTTAAAAACATATTTCAAAAATTTTACCTATGCTTTTGATTACTTTCCAAAACTTCTGTATTACCTACCCATCTATATACAAATGTGCATTTGAATGTGCATTCTCACGAAAGAAGTAGGGCAAAAGACATTTTGGGGGTATAAAACCTAATACCCTTACTTAAAGTCATCCAGGTTCCTTTTGAGATCTGAGCACTTGCTTATCTTCATGACTACACGCCAACCAGGACTGTGGAGGGTTAATTCTTTAAGTGACTGATAAACACCATTATTGCCCCTCTGAAGATATAAGAAAAGCCATTTACTTCCTCATACATATAGACAATGAATTAAGCTTTCAAGTATAGCACACCATAAGGGGAGGCACTTAGTGAATGCTTTCTGATGATGACTACAGCTTAAATTAGAAACTCATTTGATTTTCTTTCCTCATATCCAAATCCCCATACTGTATCACTATCATYGTTTCAAGGTCTCTCACCAATTCTGCAATTCTCTTAATATTTCTCATTATGGACAGGCTAGGATTTTCAATTATCAGAGAGTAATGAAGACTAATAATGCAGCTAACTATTCTGCATTATCAACACTGGTTGGGTAATGATACTGCTCTCATAATTCAAAACTTATGCAGTTCAGGAAACATCAAGAAAAAAGTCCACTTTGCTCATTCTATGTAGTATTTTATTTTGACTCTTTTATATTCCATATTTGATCTGTAGTATTTTATAATTTTACATTTTTGTCTCTGCACTCCATATTTTCTTATTCATTTTGCTCTGGAGATCCTCCTGCCTCAGTCTCCTGAGTTGCTGGAGCAGGCATGAACCACTGTGCCCAGATGATTTATGAATTTTTTAAAAACAACCCCCACACCATTCTGAGCTCAGAGTAGTTCCCAATCAGAGATTCATGCTCTAAGAAGCATTTGTTGCAAAATTTAAAAATTATGAAAGAGATCCTACAGATCACACTGATGGCTCAAGAAAAGGTATGGAAGCTAAAGGAAAAATTGCAGATTGAAATATATAATTTCTCAGCTATAATTCCTCTTGTCTTTTTTTCTCTTTTTATTTTATTTTTTTTAATGGCAGCTTGAATTGAACCCAGGAGCACTTAAACACTGAGCCATATCCATGGCCATTTTATTTTTTATTTTGAGACAGGGTCTCACTAAATTGCTTAGGTTCTTGCTAATTTGCCGAGGCTGGTTTTGAACTTGCAATCCTCCTGCCTCAGCCTACAGAGTCGCTGGGATTTCAGGCATGCACCACCACACCTGGCTTCCTCTTGTCTTCTAACAATCCAACATAACTAAGGTTGGCCAAAAACACACAAAGAAACTATATATATCCCCTAAACTTGCAAAAAAAAAATCAGTGCAATTATATTTGTTGTTTATTTTTTTATCTGTAGCACTAAGTTTCCTTTTTCCTCTTATCTTGACCTTTTCTCAGCCCAAACAGCATTTATTTTATATGTGGAAGATGGCTTACACTTAGTTGCAGATGATTCTCTGCTAACAGGATATGCTAGTAATTCTTTAAAATATCATATAGCCTCCAYCAATTACTGTACAGGTAGTACTCAGTAATTCAACACAACACTAGTATTTTAAGTGAATGCAGATAGCTGAATGGGTGGTTGGAGACCTGAGTATAACAAAATTTCCATTTAGCACAACCAGACTCCAGGGCAGATAAATCTTTTTTTTAAATATATATTTGTAGTTGTAGTTGGATACAATATCTTTATTTTATTTTTATGTGGTGCTGAGGATTGAACCCAGGGCCCCACACATGCTAGGCAAGTGCTCTACCGCTGAGCCACAATCCCAGCCCGGATAAATCTTAAGTGTAGTTAAAGGCTGGTCGTTGGTCAAGAAAGCACTACCACACCTGACTATCACAGATAGTGCTGATGACAGGGAGAGTCTCTCCCTTCCTAGATTGGAAAATCCTAGAAGTTTACCCTTTTCACTTATGTTCTCTCTACTTTGTTGAGTGGGTGGGAAAATAATTGAAAAAAGAATGAATCACAATCTTCTTTTTCATGGAGTACTCTAAAGGAGCTCCTCACAGGTCTCTTATAATTTATATTCATCCTTTAACCATCTATTGATAATCAGGGAATCATGGTGCTAGAAAAGAGATGGTCAAAACCTTTCCTTTTATGGGCAACAAATTGGGTATGCTTTTGTTTTCATGCACATAAGGCATAAGCTTAAGCAAACCACAAAGAGGGGAAAATAGAAATAYATCCTTTAAATTGATGTTACTCTTCCAGAAGATGCAGTTTCATATAGAAGCATTACAGAGTCTCCACTTACAGTCACAAATGGAACCACCTGATATTTCTTGGCAACTAATGATATTTAATGAGAAAAAGTCTTCCTATTGCATATAAATGCTTATCCAGCGATTCTGTCTTGCTCAAGTCACCTAGTGATAAGTCAAGGTAATATTGCTATTTATACTTTTGAAGGCACTTAAAATATTAAAGAATTTTGAAAACCACCTAACTTACCTCTTTTAATTTATCCACATCATCTTTTACTTTTTCATAGATTTCATTAGCTGTTCTAAGTTTTTTCTTCCATTCTGCTACAGTTTCTGAATCAATTTTACTTGGATTATCTGCAACTGGATGTTTATCTTCATTTTGGCTGCCCTGCATCAAGGTTAAAGGATCCAGAATAGTCTTGATCTGTGATTCCAAGCTGAGATTTTTACTTTTAAGCTCTTCTACCTCTTTCTGCAAACAATCTATTTCATCCTGAAAAAGCAACACATAGTCGTTAGGCAGAAATAGGAACTAAACACGAAGAGATGCTAAACTAAAGCCAACATACTTCTGGATTTTATATTCAGATATCTGTAGATACGCAGATTCTTAAGATACATCATAATAGCTTTGTAGGAAGACGGTTACATATGGTTTAAATTCTCAAAATGTATCATGATTCAATACAATTTGACATTTATGTACTTGTACTTTAATTCAATAATAGTTCCGGTTTTAAAAAAGAAAAATGTTAACTTTTATTTAAGATGTTATGCAGAAAATAAGAAAAGACACATGAATTTAAATAGGGAAGCAGATTTCATTTCAGAAGAAAAATCCGAGGCATAYTTAATTTGCTTTAATGAGGCTAATTAAGTATAGATCAAGGTGATTGATTAGGGGTTTTGTTTAATGTTTATATTTTTGCTTCTACATTTGAAGTAGGAATAATATCATATAGCCTTCCATTTTTCATTTCAGAATAATACCTGTAGTTAACTTTCAGCTTTTCTAGTTTTCTTCAATTACTACTATGACTATTGCCAAGAATTAGTTTTCTGACTCTGAAACTGCTTGGTATCTTAACTGCAGTCACTAAATATTTGGATTAGAAAACTTCTTTTCTGTGATGCCATTTATTCATCCATAATAAACATGTCACCTTAAAATGAGGTTGTTAAAAATTCTGTTGTTAGAAAATAAGTTCCAAGTTGCCCCATATGCTGCTGCTATAATTTGAATGTCCTCTCCCAAACTCATGCTGAGATTTAATTGATATTGTGACACTACTAAAAGGTGGGTTGTTAAAAGGTGGGTTGCTAAAAGGTGATTAGGCCATTAGACACTACTTTCATGAATGGAATAATGCTRTTATTATAGGAGTGGGTTAGTAATTGAGAGAGTAGATTCTGATAAAAAGGGATGAATTCAAGTACCCTTCCCACTCTTCCTCTTGTCCTCTCTTGCTCCTTCTGTTTTCCACTATGGGACCATGCACCACAAAGGCCCTCACCAGATGCTGATACTGTGCTCCAGGAATTCCCAGCCTTAAGAATCATGACCAAAGAAATTTCTGTTCATTATAAATTACTCAGTCTCAGGTAATATCAGCAAAACACAGACTAAGACAGTCAGCGATCTCTCAAAAGTTACTCTAGTTAGTATTTTCATATGATAAATATAAATTTGTAAAAATGTAAAGTGTGTAAGAATTAAGAGTTACCATAGTACTAGTTACTATTTTAAATTGTAATAAATTTCTTTGCCTAATTTAATGTTAATTAATAAACAAATATAAATATAGGCATTTATATGTTCATGTATGTGTAAAAACATGGAGTCAGGCATGCTCTCATTGCATCATGACAGCAATGGAAAATGAATATCTAAATAAATATTTATTTATGCCCCATTACTTAAAAAAAAAAAAATTGAGGCAGCTGTGATAGTTTAACTTAAAGATATTTTGTGTCAAGCCCAGCAGGAGCTTATAGCTATAATCCCAGTGACTCAGGAGGCTGAAGCAGGAGGATCTCAAGTTTGAGGCCAGCCTAGGCAAGCAAGTTAGTGAGATACTATTGCAAAATAAAAAATAAAAAGCACTGGGGATGCAGCTCCGTGGTCAAGCACCCCTAGGTTCAATCCCCAAACCCCAGTAACAAACCAAACCAAACCAAAACCAAAAAAAAAACTCAACAGGTATCAAAAGAGATTAATAATATCTCCCCCTCTTTAGTCAACATAAACAACAAGTTGACTTAATGCCTACTACTCAAAAGTATGTGTATTTCTGACTGGAGTGAGAGCAAATCTTAAAGTAGTTTTAATTTGCATTTCTCTACTTATTAGAAATGTTGAACATTTTTTCATATTTTTGTTAATTAATTATATATCTTCTTCTGAGAAGTGTCTGTCTGTTCAGTTCCTTAGTCTATTTATTGATTGGGTCATTTGTTTGTCTGGTATTAAGTATTTTGAGTTATTTATATATCCTAGAGATTAGTGCTCTATCTAATGTACATATGGTAAAAATTTGCTCCCATTCTGTAGCCTCTCTCTTCACCTCACTGATTGTTTATTTTGCTGAGAAGAAGCTTTTTAGTTTGAATCCACCTCATTTATTGATTCTTTATTTTATTTCTTGTGCTTTAGTAGTCTTGTTAAAGAAATCGGGGCCTAATCTGACATGACAAAGATTTGGGCCTACTTTTTCTTCTATTAGGTGCAGGGTCTCTGGTCTAATTACTAGGTCCTTGATCCACTTTGAGTTGAGTTTTGTGCGGGGGGAGAGATAGGAGCTTAATTTCATTTTGTTATATATGAATTTCAATTTTTCCCAGCATCATTTGTTAAAGAGGCTATCTTTTCACCAATATATGTTTTTGGCACCTTTGTCTAATAAGAGATAACTGTATTTATGTGGGTTTGTCTCTGTGTCCTCTATTCTCTGCCATTGATCTGTAAGTCTATTTTGGTGCCAATACCATGCCATTTTTGTTACTATTGCTCTACAGTATAGTTTAAGGTTTGGTAATAGCAGTTATCAAAAATACAAGCAACAATAAGTGTTGGCAAGGATGTGGGGGAAAAGGCACATTCTTACATTGCTGGTGGGACTGCAAATTGGTGTAACCAATATGAAAAGCAGTATGGGGATTCCTCAGAAAACTTGAAATGGAACCACCATTTGACCCAGCTATTCCACTCCTTAGTCTATACCCAAAGGACTTAAAAATAGCATACTACAGTGACACAGCCACATTAATGTTTATAGCAGCACAATTCACAATAGCTAAACTGTGGCATCAACCTAGATGCCCTTATATAGATGAATGGATAAAGAAACTGTGGTATATATACACAATGGAATAATACTCAGCATTAAAAGAGAATAAACAATGGCATTTGCAGATAAATGGATGGATTTGAAGAATATAATGCTAATGGAAACTAGCCATTCGCAAAAAAACAAAGGCCAAATGTTTTCTCTGATATGTGGATGATGATCACATAGGGGTTGGGGGAAAGAGAGGAACTTTGGATAGGGCAAAGGGGAGGAAGGGGAAGGGAGGGGGCAAGCGGGTAGGAAAGATGGTGGAATGAGGTAGACATCATTACCCTAAGTATGGRTATGAAGACATGAATGTCTTCATGTACAACTTGAAGAATACTTCATGTACAACCAGAGAAATGAAAATTTGTGCTCCATTTGTGTAGTATGAATTGAAATGCATTCTGCTGTCATGTATAATTAGAACAAATAAATATTTTAAAAAATCCAGGAAAAGCGACACTATATCTTCTATGCCCCTCCCCACCAACCACCACCTTCCGCTACACACACACCCCATATACTGTTTTAGTCCATTTGGAATGATGAATAAAATATAAAAATATCAGACTGGGTAGTTTATTAAAAAAATTATTTTCACTGTTTTGGAGGCTGAGAAGTTTAGGATCAAAGCACAGGCACATTCACTATTAAATGAGAGCCCATTTCCTTGTTCAAATATTATGGTTTGGATATGGGATGTCCCCCAAAAGCTCCTATGCAAATGCATGACATGAAATGATTAGATTATGTGTGTTGTGACAAAATTGGTTGATAGGCCTGTTTGATGGATTCATAATTTGAATGTATTACTGGGTGGTAACTGTGGTTGGCTGGAGGAAGTGAAGTGAATCATTGGGATGTGTTTTGAGGTTTTTCTATTTTGCTACTGCCTCCTCATGCTGGTTGTCTGTTTCGTGGCTGCCATGAGCCAAGGAGCTCTCCTTTCTAGGTGCTTCTGCCATATTTAGCCTCAACGTGGGCCCAGAGCAAGGGAGGCAGTCAACCATGAAATGAACCTGTGAAACCATGAGCCAAAATAACCTTTTCCTGCTCTTAAAAAAAAAAAAAAAAGACTACGTGTACTTTGTTAGCAAAGAATTTCTTTGGAAATTCTCCACTACTGTGGTAAATCAGAATGCTCATTCACCTTTACACAAGAATCAGAAAATAACATTTCACACTAAAATTTCTGTGCTAATAGTTGCCATAAAGCATGGTGATAAAAATTGGTTGAGCTTGTAATCATCAGTGAATTTATAGGCAAAAATAAATGTTAATTGTGGATTCAGGAGGACTTTCAAATGATGGTTTCTTTTTCTCCCAACTTCTTAAGGGAAACAGAGGTTTTAATTTTAACTTGTCTAAAGAGGTATAAATTTTAAATTAAAAAATGGTGGGGGAATGCTTTCTGCTTTCATATCTTCCTTTCCCCTGGAATCCTTTTCTTCTCCTTTCTTCCCTTACTTGGTACTTACATAAAAGTTAAAAAAATATTTTTTTATATCTTCCTTATTTAAAATAGAAAAGGGAAAAAGAAAAAGAATTTGCCAAACAAGTTATTATTACTATTATTTTTTCGGGATTGAACTCAGGACACTTAACCACTAAGCCCCATCCTTCACTCTTTTTATTTTTTTGAGACAGGGTCTCGCTAAATTGCTTAGGGCCTCACTAAGTTGCTGAGGCTGGTTTTAAATTTGCAATCTTCCTGCCTCAGCCTCCTAAGCCACTGAGATACAGGCGTGCACCACTTCGCCTGGCTAAATAAAATATATTTTTCTAACTGGAATTCAAAAGAACGGTTCACTGGATATTTATTCTAAGAAGTCTGAGGASTGAGGTAGTTCAATTTTACTTCAAATTCACTGCTGACATAATTTTAAAATCCAATTAATGTTTACCTCATATTCTTTATGGAGTAATTCAAGTCTAGTTTTCCGAAGGTGCTTCCTGACTGTATGAGTTAGCATAGGTTCACTTTCACTTGTTCCTCCTATAAGGGGAAAAAAAAAAAAGAAAAAGTCCTTTTTTAAAAAATTCTGATTTTGGCAAAATGAAAATGAACCTTTTTCTTATTTTATATAGTTCACCAGTTTAATATCTACATTTTCTCTTTCACACCAATTTTGGGCTGCCATCTAGGCCTATTCTCTATCTTAATTCTGGGAAAAACAAATAATCAAATAACACCATAATAAATGCCTTCAGTAAAATATCATATTGTGTTTGTTTATCTATATGTCATACTAGAAAAAACTCAGTAGGGAAAAGGACCATGTGTTATTAATTTTCACATTTGGACTACTGAAAACCTGAAAGCTAGACAACTGTTAAATAATAATAAAACCAATTACTATACTTTGTCAACGATTAAATATATGTATGTATAAATAATTATAACCAAGGTATTCAAACATGCTTGGTTACTGGTAACACAACTGAAAAAATTAATGCATATTTTTCACTGATTCTAATAATGTACTTACAATGGATTATGAGTCATAGCATTAATTATATGCATGACTTGTTAGAAATATATACAATATGAATTCTCAAGAGTTTTTCATTTCTACTGTGGTTACCTTCCTTGCTTTTTAGTGTCATGATAGTGAAGGCATTTTACAGATGTTCTTTTTCAAGACATCTATCAAATCAATGATGGATCAACTATTTTACTTGAGAAAATTTACAGAATATCACTGAGATATGAATGAATGAAGGAAGGAGGAGGCCTGTGTAGAAAAGCTGAGAGTTAAAAACATTCAGATTATTTTAATTATCAAAACTCATATTCTGGGTCTGTAGTTCAGTGGCAGAGCACTTCCCTAGCATGTGTGAGGCACTGGATTGGATCCTTAGCACTACATAAAAATGAAAAAAATGAAGGCATTCTGTCTGTCTACAACTACAAAAAAATTTAAAAAACACAACTTATATTTTGTAAGAAAAGACCTGATTCCTCAGTGAAGTTCAGTAGGTAAATACATAGAGAAGGAAAAATTTAACCCCACAAAATGCAACACAGCATAGAATTAGTCATCTGCCATGTTTTATAAGGTAGGAAAGAAATCTTGGAGCCAACTTTGATTCTTTCTTTGGATCTTTATTGCCAAAGTCCTACCAGTTCTTCTTTTGCTGTCCAGCATATATATCTTCCTTTCCATTTTCACTGTAAAAATCTTATTTAAAGTCAATTTTCCCTAACTTAGGACTATTACAATGACTTAAGCTTTCTGAAAAATGCTTTCTATATGTGGATAATTATAGATTGACTTTAAATGTTTCCTAAAGCAAACAAAAATTATTTTAATTTTTATAATTTAAAAGAAATAACATATATGGGGGAAAAAACTACCAAACACCAAAAGGCCCTTTAAATTATTTCTTTCTCTTCTCTTCTCTCTCACACTCTCTCTTTTTCTCTTTCTCTCTACCTTCTCCTTTCTTCCTATTTTAATGGGGACTGAACTCAGGGGTGTTTTGCCCTCTTCTCCCTTCTTCCCACCCATAGAGCAGGTCCCTGATTTAGCTGTCATTTGAGTTCCTCTACACTAGTCTCAATTTACCTTTTCAATCTTATTTCACTAGTCAGATCCAAACTAAATTACTGATCATTTCCCAAAACAGGCTTATTATTCTATATTGTTCATGTCACTGCATGAAATGCTCTCCTATGCCTCACTTAATTTTTACTAGTTGAAATTTTACACATCCTTTAATGTCCAACTACTTCATGAAGCCTTCTTCAATGTTGCTAACTGAATGTTCCTGCCAAAACTCTTCAGGCCTTATATTATTTTTTGGACCTTAGCATCTGCTTTGCTGCTTTAAATGATTAATATTTTGGTCCACATGCACAGTCTTTACTGATAAATCCCATGAAGCTCCAAGAGTTATTTCTCCTAGCATCTCTCATAGTGCTTTGTGCCCTTCAGTTGCTCCACATATACATTATACAAATTACTAATTAATCTAGTATGATGTTGGCTAAATAACACCATTGAAAACTATTCCAATATACATAACTATCCCAAATATACATAACTTGGAAAACATTTCAAATTTATTCCTCGGTGTATAAAATAGGTCCTTACCGATAATCTCCTTACAAGGATTTTCAGGAGTAATAGGGACTCGGCAAGCTGGACACTGGCTATTATTCTTCAACCACAAATCAATACAAATAGAACAAAACACATGGTTGTTGATGCAAATGACAGGCTGGCGTACCTTTGAAAAAAGAGACACTACTTTTAGTATAGGCAACAGTCATAACTAGATTCCTAATATAGTTTAGTGCAGAGCAAACAAATTGCTTCTTTAGAGTACAGAACAGTGAGTGTTTAGCAGGGAATATCTAGGACTTCAAAATGCTGATTATCTTGACCATATCATTTATTATATATGCATAACAGATGCTAGCTAAAATAGTTGGTTATAGCAGCTGAAATTCTTGACATATTTATGAGATGCATTATTCTATACTTAACCACATTCATGGTAAAACAAAAAAAAAAATTGAATATTTTTGTTTTTTGGTTCCACTAAGGTTAGGACATTTTTTCCTCAGACTATTTTATTTTACACGTGTATTTACACGAAATACTCAAAATTCTGAGTCCATTTAAATGTGGACAAATAACAATACCTTACATTTACATAGTCATATTTTATGAAGGGCTTCCACATGTACATTCTGTCTCTTACAAACCACAGCTGTATGAACTAAATATAGTAAATATATGTTACAAGTAAGGAAGACAAAGTATGAAGAAATTAGGTAGCTTGTGCTGAGTTACTGGAGTGTTTTGAATGTTGCAGTTTTGTCAAAGGAAAAAGAGAAAAGAAGAGTATATTCTTGCAATAGATGGCTGCTTTTTTGTGTGCCACTTCCTTTTCTCTAGTAATGAACTGTATATAGCCTTATACACGATGGAGTAGGGCATTCTAAACCAACTCGGGTCCAGAATGCTACCTGTTCTAGAACCATTTTCTTACTCAAATAAACTTTGTTAACTCAAATAAACTTTTTTTTTTTTTTTAAAAATCAGTGATCTTTGAGCATCATTTTGCTCACTTTTTTTTTAAGAGAGAGAGAGAAGAGAGAGAGAATTTTTTAATATTTATTTTTCAGTTTTCGGTGGACACAACATCTTTATTTTATGTGGTGCTGAGGATGGAACCCAGGGCCCCTGCGTTATCGCTTGAGCCAAATTCCTTTTTTAACTTTACTTATATCAGATTTTTCTTTACCAGTCTCATTCATCCCTAAATTGCTGGTACCTATAAGTTAGATAAGTACTTAGTAGGTACTAAATAAAGATTGGTTTAATTGATTTRTTTAATGAATTAATTACTATTAAGGCAGTAATTTTATTAGTTGATGAACTCACCACAAGGGAATCATGACTTAATATTTTTYAAATAGCATAATTTAACAATAAAAACAAAAACAGCACAGAAAGACTTAGGCTTTCATTTGATCAACATGATATTTCCACTACAGGATTCAAAATATTCTGCAGCCATTTTCAATATTTTCCTGTTCTAATAATTAGAATGCCAGTAATAAGGTCTTCTGCACCGGGGAGGAGACTAGAAGATCAAGGGAAAACAGAATTAGAGGGAGAATGAAGATAGAGTGTTACCACAAACCACTTTCCTTGTGCCGCTGTGTCTGCCCTAAAAGACTACTGAGTATTCATTTGGAATGGGTTTACACAGCCAAAACAAAATCACAGGCAGGCAGGTAATCATTTTAGACTCATTGCAAAGATCTGTCTGGTTTCAATCTGGCTTTCCAAACACTTTGCTACTCCCTTGATTATAAACACTAATCCAAGAAAACTAAATAGAGAAGATTATTAAAGATGAATTTAAACTTGCTCTTGGAGAAATCTAACTAATTCATTCAATTCAAAGGGTTTGACAAGATTCCTTTAAAAACAACAAACAAACAAACAAACCATGAAGTACCATGTCTAAAACTCTTGTTTGGAAAATGCTCCTAGCAGCAGCCACGCATAAAATCTGTGAGGCATTCTCTGGTTAATATGAAGTGTCTGGCAAATCTGAACTTTGGTTGCATTTTTTTTCCTTAAAAATTCAGGTGATTTTAAAGTCTAAATTATAATGTGTTCATGCATGTTTTAATTTCATTTGCATATCATGAAATTTTCTGGAAGTACAAAAGCCCAAACTAAATACCAGGAAGGTAATGTCATATCTACTCTGTCACCCTTCCTGGACCTATAATATTCCTAGTAGTACCTATAATATTCTTAGTAGTACCCTATAATATTCYTAGTAGTACCCTATAWTATTCCTAGTAGTACCTTATTCCCCCCAAATTACGAAGCTCAGTTAAGGAAGAAAGAGTTATCTCCTTGAACTGGTAGCTACTTTTATAATGGTGACTTAATTTATTTTTATGTCATAAACTCATCTAAAAATGGATGAAATCCAATGTTTAAGATATAAAATTACACATTATAAAAAGGGCTTTAAAATGCTACTCCCTATGAGAAATATGTTTAAAAGCAATCAGTATTTTACATGTATTTGTTCCCCTCAAAAATTTCAGTGGCTCACCAATCTTAAAAATGGTTTTATGCTCCTCAGTGGTTGGTGTTATCATTTACTAAGGTTCCAAAGATGAAGGAGCAAATTTCACACATGGTAAAAATCAAGAATTTGGTTTCAGTCATGTGAAATTTGTGATGCCAACCCCATACATTAGTGCATAAGTCTCAGCTGGGTGTGATGATGCATGCCTGTAATCCCAGAAGCTCAGGAGGCTGAGGCAGGAGGATCAAGAGTTCAAAGCCACCTTAGCAATGGTGAGGCACTAAGTAACTCAGTGAGACCCTGTCTCTAAATAAAATACAAAATATGGCTGAGAATGTGGCTCAGTGGTCGAATGCCCCTGAGTTCAATCCCCTGTACACCCCCCACCCTGAAAAAAAAATTAAGTACATAAGTCTAGTCTTGCCTTGGTAAGTTTTGAGAGTCAATGGTATAAAAGATAATGGCATTTAAAGTCACTGGAGCAGGTGCCCAATATGGACAAAACAGCAGGGATGGGGGACATTTCACTAACTAGTGAAAAAAGAGGAATAAGGAGCAAAAGAAACTGGGAGAAGGGGGCCCTGTCATATCAGAAAACAGTATCATAAAAGTTAAGAGAAGAATGTGTTAAGAGGGAGACAGTGTCCAAATATGTAAAATGTTGATGAGATATTGAGTTTGATGTGAACTGAGATGAGACTATAGGATTTAACTGCATGGAAGTCACTGTGATCTGTTACTAAAAAGCCCTGTTTCAGCAACTGGTGGGGATGGAAATCTGGATGTTGAGAGACAATGATAAGATGAATATAGACAATTCTTTCATATTCTGATGCAAAGGAGAGAGCAAACTAATTCATTAGACCACAGCCAGGAAAGCCAAAGGGAATGATACAGTAAAAAGGGAATATCAGTAGTGAAGGGGAGGAGTCTTGCAGTGGAGACAGAAAAATTTCTGTGTAAAGGAGAATGGAATTCAAAGCACAAGAGGAGATTTTGTCTTTTTAGGAGTGAGCTACTGTCTTCCTTTTTAACAGAAGGGAAAGCAGGAAGTGTGAGAACAAATAGTAAGGGACTAAAGATCTGTTAATGGGAAAGACAAGGGAATTTATTCATATTCCAACTGTCCCAGTTGCTTATATTTTGTCATTAAATGTGAAGTGAGGATATCGGCTGAAAGTGAGAAGGGAGATGGGATATAGATTTGAAAAAAAAARAGAGAATAAAGCAGTTACTTTGAAAATGAGAAAGTTTATTAGAGACATGTAGCAGGACTTCTTTACATTGTTGAGTTCCTATTTAAGGTCTGTGGTTTTGAATGCAAAGTAAGACTAATTAGCACAGGTGTTTATTTTTCTTAGCAATATTTAGCTACTTAGTTCAGGCAGGAAATTAGATAATTAGTTCAGTTTACCCAGAGTTGAGATTTTGCCRAGGAGAAACGGAGAGAAAAAGGACTAATAATAATAGATGACCACAAATAATAAGTGAAATGAGTACTTAAGTGGTAATGATGATAGTGAAAAGTGATAGAGTCAATGGATACATTTCAATAAAGCTGGAGTAATGCTGGAGAGTATAATGGAAACAGAATCAGAGAGTAAAATGCATACAGTCAAGATACTGAGGTGGCACAATTACTTTTCCTAACATTTTTCCCAGGCCATCTTATCTGATATTCATGCATGCCTGCCCCTCCCCCTCCCTCCCCTCCCCCCCCTCTTGTTTTTCTTAATCTCATGTGCCACATGGCATTAATAWCAGCTTTATGTAACAACTCAACTTCTCTATAACTGGACCTTGATAAGAAACAGAGCTTAGGCTTCTACAAACAAACCTGGAGACAACTCCAGCTCTCTCATTTACTGAGTTATGCTACCTTGGGTAAGCACTTTTATTATTCTGAGCATCAATTTTTGCCTCTGAAAATTAGGTACCCTTTTCATTTAGGTGTGGTTTAAAAATAAATAATGGATGGTAGCCCAGATACTTTCACATAGCAATCCCTCCTCCCTGAATACAGACAAAATAGCAAGTCTATTAACTATATAACTCAGGAGCCAAATCATTATGAGGATCCTACAGCTTCCTCCACCATTACATGTTCAAAATAAACCTTGATCTCCTCCACACACTCTTCTTCCTGCACCTGCACTACTTCCTAAGTTGATGGCATCACCACTTTTTTACTTGKGCTAAAAAAGAGCTGCCTTTTACTAACCTCTTTTCCCTATCCTCATTATCCAATTTGTCACCAAATTCTATATTATATATTAGGTGTAAGAAGTTATACATTCTTAAGTTTCATCAATATTTTATGTACCACTAAGAGAAAAGAATGAAAAACATTGCCGATTACAATTACAAGATACAATCACTCACTTGTAAGATGCAACTAGATTTCAGATATGTTAGAATAAGGGGAAAATGTACACCTCAGAATAGCCGTTGCATGGCAAATTTATACCCAAACGTTCTTCACCCCAATAATGAGTTTAGGTTCTCATTCTTTTATACTTGATCTATTACAATGATCTTCTCCCACAAATGTTCACATCTGTCCACTTTTCACACTGATTCCGGAGCTACCTTTCTAAGTATAAATCAATAGCTTTCACTGCTCTCTAGCAAGATAGCAATGAGTTTTCCCTACTTATAATATT